TTTTTAGACAATAAGCGCAAAAATTCCGGGAATTTTCCGGATCCCCCTGCAAGGCCCTCACAAGCAGCCAAATTGACCGGAAAAGGAGGCGGGACAACCGACAAGGCGGCCGCAGAGCGAAAATAGGGGTCGAGCCCGTAGCCTTTTATAGGGATATAAAAAACCCAGAAGTATGAGAACGAATGAAGAATTTAATCCAATTGAATTCGATCTATTGATATTTTGAATGGGGATATATTCGTTATAAAAAAAGATCTCCTCGAGTAACCATCAGGCCAAATACGAGACCTATTATCAGAATACATTTCTATATTCGTGAAATACGATATATATATATATATATATATATTTTTTTTTCCTGAAAAATTTTTAATATAAATGAATTATATGAAAATTCAAACCTTAACTCCATGCCTGGATCCAGCGCCAAAAACATTTCGGCATATTAGTAGGGTTCAAGGTTCTCAGATCCTCGCTCAGCAATATCATCGAGCTGTCAGAAAAATATCAAAAAGACCCACCTCGTTCAGCAATATCCCCAAGCTGTCAAAAAAATATCAAAAAGACCCATCTCGCCCGCCTGTGGAAGTTTTGTGTCGCGTCCACTGGTAGGGGAGGCCTCCTCTGATCGCCAGTTGAGTGCACCTGGAATCCAGGCATCGGCCTGCGAGCACAGTCTGTCTTACCTTGAAGTAGGGTTTAGGGTTTAGGGTTTAGGGTTTAGGGTTTAGGGTTTAGGGTTTAGGGTTTAGGGTCAGAACGAAGTTCTTTCCATCTCCCGAGCCTGGATGCCCAGGTCGCTCATGCTTCTTCTGTTCGTGGGTGGAGAGAGCGGCTCGCCATCAGACCCCATTGACCCCTGTGAGCAGCCTCAGTGCGAATGCGAGCCCAAACGGCCCGGCAAAACTTTGCTGTGAATCGTCTGCTCTGCATGGTAGTTCAATACCTTCAATTCCAAGCGTCTGATTGGTAGAGATTTTGCTAAATCGGAAGCCTGACGCAAGCAAGCGCGCACACAGCGCATCCCACGGGGCGCGGCTAGTTAAAGAATAGCTCGTGAGGTTGTGGTGGGTTCTTATAATTGGGGCGCCTCCGGCTTAGCCGGTTCTTGCTTCTCTTCCTCAGCGTTGGCCTGGCTGGTCCACGAAAGCCATGGTAAATCATGCCAGGCACATCCTACAACACTGCGCCCGACAGAAATTCCCTTCCCGCCTGTGTGGCAGGCAAGAGAATTATCAGCTCGTCTGCTGCATGGCTTTGCCATAGCAAAGGCTGATCCTGGCAACATCAAGCTTGGAACTGAGGCACTGAATCCGATTGCACGGCCTTGTTCTCTGGATTCAACACTGGATGTCGCTCATCACTGCGGCGCCACCTGAATCATGATGCCGGGGTGAACAGTACTTTACATGTTGAAATTCTCCTTGCCGCTGAAAGACCCAAGCAACGTGCCAGCACATCTGTCAATGACCCGCGCAGACATATCCTTGGCAAGCAGGTTGATCAAGAGTGGCGACTGCTATAGGCCAACTCTCTCACACAGTGCCAGCCAGCATCAAAGAATGAGAGGTTCTCCTCTCCTTAGACACGCAGGGCACTGCTGATGTATGCGCCCCAATCAGGTTGATGTCTGCCATCAACGCCGCAGTGTTTTTTCCCACAAGGGACTGGACTTTTTGCGCTGCATCCCTGATTGTGCAAGCAAGTTTCCACGCACATACTTTTGAATCGGCGCGGCAACAACATGACCAGTATTGGTTGTCGGGTCAATCAACTTTGTGAAGAGGTCGTACACTGCCTTGCAAGAGATTGCCTGAAGCCAGGGATGGTTTACAGTTTTTTTTGAAATTCCCATGCGTGCATTCCGTCGCCAAGGTGTTTATGCCGCTGAGGGCGCAATTGCAAAGACCCCAGTCTCGGTGGCGGATGTAAATACGAAAGATCCCGTTTTCCTCAGCATCGATTGCGGCACGACTTCAGCTGCATCAAAGGCATGCGGCGTGAGCTGCGTGGCAACGAAAGCTGAAACTTCCTTGCTACACACACATACACGTGGGCGGGCATCGCGTCCTATGCTTGCCATGCTATGGGCAGAAGAGGCTCCGGACGCTGCTGTTTTCAGCCAGAACAATTTGACTTTTGGGGTCCTGGATCTCCTCAGTAGCTGCACAAGACAGAACAGCCTCCGAAGCAGAACAGCCTCATACCAAAAGCCGTTGACTACGCCTATGGCCAGGAGTCAGTGACAATTTTGCATTTCTTGCGATAGGTCTTTAGCCGATGCTGCGAGATTGCATCGGCCCGACAATCGAGAACCTGATGGGTTATGACGTGAAGCACACACCAAGAGCCCAAGCAAAGTCACAAAGTCTGTGTCAGACAAGTTGCATACCTAAGGTTGATCGCAATGGTCAGATTCCTTCAGCAGGTCGCAGAGCAGGAACTCACAAGAGGCTTGACCATGTGATCCTTCCTCTGCTCTTCATGACTGGCCTTAACCTTAACCATGCAAAAGGTAGCAGCATGCCATCCCATGCTTGGGCAGTTCCAAGGCATGAAAGCTTCAGAGATCAAGAAAGTCCTGGCATCCGAGTCCATGGTGTTTTCCAGAAGATCTTCACGCTCTGACAGGATCAATGCGCAGTCGGCCTCAACACGATAAAAAAAACAAATCATAATCATAATACTAACAATCAATGCAAAAAGCTCATGGTATGAAGCTCTGCGCTTCGTGATGCTTGCCCGTGCGATGTAAGCTTCTGGCAATATCGAGCGGAAGCTTCTCGAGCACGGCTGGATCCCGGCGACTGCCAACATGATGTGTGATGTCGATCCTGCGCGAAGGACGCACCGCGACTCAGACCAACCCAGCTGCTGTCATCACCATGATTCTCACGCATGTCCTGTCGAAACGGAACTTTCCCCATCTGGCCAAATTTAGCCGGAGTTGCGTCTGGCGCCTCGATGCGTTCTTTGAAAGTAGGAACCGTCGCTGAGTGCTCTTAAGCAACCCATAACCCACAATGCCCAGACATAAGTCCGACAGTGCACATGCTTGCCTTGACCGGGGCTTACAGTTCAAGCTGCTGGCTGAATAATCCCCTCCCCCTGGTATTAAAAACCCCTCTACCCCCTAATGTTACATACCCCAAGGGCATATGTTAGGGGAGGGGAGCACTATGGCACTGGGGAGTACTATGTCACTGTGTCTTGCTGTACCAGGTGCCACTGCACGGGTCGAGTTGAAAGAAGGTGGATCTGACCTTGTGGCAGCTGGGACACATGCCTTGCAATGCACTTAAGGGTTTAGGGTTTACACCTTGCTTGTTTGATGAGTGCCGTGGCAGCTGCTCGACGAACTTACATAGCCGTCGATGATGTCCAAAATGTCGCAGAAATCATCGGGACCTCAGTTCTTCGAGCCCCCATTCGCGCTCTGAACTCCAGGCTTTTTTGTGCGGCAGGGTGCAACCAAGAACGAGCACAACTTGAGGACCATCTGCTGCCTGCAGAGAATGCGCCAAGAGTTGTGCCGAGTCTGCGACTCTCAGCTTCAATTTAAATGAGTTCACAGCATTTGCTCCTACATCGAACGAACCAGTCTGTGCAGCCCAGTTGCTGGCCCCAAGCGGATCTGACCATCAGGCATTAGCACCCGGTTCGGCACCTTGCGCGCCTGACCGACCAAAGGCTTCTAAATGCACGGCTATCCGCGCAACCCTGAACCCTAAACTTGCGTATACCCACAAAGCCAACATTGCGCCTTGTCGTTCGTTCCTTCTTGTGCTTCCGGGGCGATCCTCGTGCTGCCTTGTTCCATGGTGCCGATCGGGTCATCCAGCAGGCAGCAGTACCCTGAGAGAAGTGAGCCGTTGCTGAAAGCAACTGCACGTTGAGATGTTCCCCCTTACGCTAGCAGTCTTTCATTTGGATTATCGTACCCCCCCATTATAATCCCTATTAAGGACTGTTAGTAGAAGCGGGAACAGCCCCAGCTGCACGTCTTGCGTTGCATGCACAACACTTCTGAGCATAGCAAGTCTGTGCCTGCAGTGGATTTGCTGGAAGCAAGCATGACCAGTTCGTCCCCTTCCTCGGACCGGCAGTCTTCACAAGCATCTCCGAGAAGGGCAACGGTCGTGAAAAAACCCCACTTCGCACTTTCACTATGTCTCTCACAGAGCAGGAATCCGGGAAGAGCAACCCTCCCCGAGTTCAGTTTCCATTCGACACCCCTGCTAGCCTAGCTGTCGTCAGAGCCAAGCTTCTTCCAGAATGTGCGGGTGCTTTCCCAGTTTCAGCGGAATGGCGGTGTGGGCGCCGCTTTGCTTCACACCACAGACCGCTGCGTGGGGGAAGCACCGGTGGGCATCCTCAGGCGTCTTGGGCTGCATCGTGGACCCTTTCCGCAACTTCGGCACATTGGGGTGCGTCTGCAGTCTAGGTGTTTTTTTGGGCTTTTTTCGTCTCCAGTAAGGTAAACTCCTAAACCAAAAACCATAAACCCTAAACCCTCTGCTCTAGTCCATATAGCTTCGGGGAGCCAAAAAAAAGGGCCCCACCATGATCCACCATGAACCATGCCGGTCCTGCAGCTGGCTGCCTAGAAGAGCCTTTGGCACCGGCACCTCAGAAGAGAGCCCATATGGCTAAGTCCCGTATATGTATATGTCTATATGTAGATAGGTATATATATATACACATACATATATACATATGTACAGCTCTCTCTCTCTCTATATATATATATATATCTGTACATGTATATATATATATATATTGCGCTGCCAGCAACTTCTGCATCAACTCGCTAAGCTTGGCACGAGAAAGAGCTGAGTTCCCGATCCTTTGGCCATCCACGCTTGCAGGGACATTAAGCTTTGAACATGGTACCACCAAACATCGTTCCTGCATCCGTCGAGAAGTTACTGTGCTTCCAGGCCCAAGCGGCTGGTAGTGGACATCCTCAGCCATGCGTAGCCGACAGATGGCACCAGTGCCCGGAGAGTGATCATTCGATTCACCTTGCCCGGAGGTTTGATAGAGGCCATGGGTCCCAGAGGAATGACAACAGTTTTTCGCAGGCTTCCTCCAAGCGGCTGCATGCCTGGCGACAATGCCCTGTGCAGATGGAAGAATTGTGTGGACAATGCGGGCATTCTCGCGATTGTGCATCTCCTGAGCGCGTGCTGAGAGGTCTGTGAGGGCAGCCACCAACTTAGCGGTGCGGACATTTCCTGTAAAGCCCAGTGGCCGTCCACACGTCTGCCTGCGTCTCCGTCTCGGGCGCGCCACCCAAAGCAAGGAGGGTACGAATCGCCTGGTGGGTTCGGATCTCAATTTATCCCGGTGCGACATCCTGAGACCTTTCTCCACATTCTCAATGCGCTGGATTCTGCATGCTGAAGTCGCAAGCAAGCGTCTTCATGGTCGGAGCTGATGTCCGTTTCGTTTGTGCACATGATCAGGATATGCTCAGCCAGTGGAGCATCAACCTCCCAGCCGGGTTCCCTCTGGCATTAGAGGCTCAGGAAGTCTCGCGCCGGCCTTCATCAGCTCTACTCTTTGGGCGCTGCATCCCTCCCGATAGGAGATGCAACGCAGCTTCCTGTAGTCGCCTGAGCACGGTTTGATGACGCCCTGCGGCTAGGTTTCTTCGGAATCACGGTGGCAAAACAAGCTTCACAGAGATTCACCTTGCCTTGAGGGTCTTTGGTGCGAAAATGCATCTGAGCAGGGTTGTGAATGCAACGCCGGATCGAGTTGCTCGACTCTTTCTAGACACTTGTGGCAAGACACGGGACCATTGTTTTCAGAACTGACCAAACAGACTCACAGCATCGTCGGCCTAGCACACAGAGACAGGCGCACCTGAACTTCGCGTTGCATTTCCCGTACATCTTTCTCGGCAAGTATGACCTCGAGACCAGGACCAAATGGGGGTTTCCCGATTTTGGGGGGTCCTCATTTTTGGGAACCTACTATTTGGGGGTCTTTTTAAGGGGTCCCCAGTTTTCGTAAACCCCCAAATGGGGGAAATTGCTCGCTTTCATATCGACATTTCCAGTCTTCAAGATGGGCGGCGATTCGTTGCCGACGAGGGCAGCAGCATCTGGCATTTGCTGCGTTCTTGCTGCTCACGGCCTCAAGCCTTTGGTCGCGAGCTTCAACCCTAAACCAGCAAGGTCGACTTTCCAGGGGAACCGAGGGAAGGCGCAACACTGCGGAGGCACCGTACCTTGCAGCTTAGCCACAGCTCCTCGAGGAGGAAAAGGGTTTTGTCCTCAGAATCAACCCTCAGCCGCTCAACATGCCTGGGTCTTGGGAAAACCCTAGAGTTGATCCATGTGGGGGTTTAGGGTTTAGGGTTTAGGGTGGACCCGAATATAGACCCCCAAAATCCCACAATTGTAAGATTCCCGATAAGGTACCCCTAAGATCGTAAACTCCCATGTGTCAAGGTTATTCAAGGCTCTATCACACACAGCAATCGAGGCCCCGACCCCCCAGCCAAGGATTAGCCAGTGGCCTTGCGCATCTATCTTGCTGTACTTGTCTTTCCAGAAAACCAAGATGGATCGGATAAGCTCCACAACCTGGGATGCAAGAGCATAAGCTTCCATGCAATTGGACATGCTTGCAAAAATCACAGACTTTGCCACGGTCCTGAGCCCCGGGCCATGCCCAGGAAAGTCAAACAATACCTGCACATGACTGCAGTGGCTGTCCCATTGCTGCAATGATGTGGGTGTGTGTATATATGTAGCTATACAAGTGCGCCCTGTGGAAAAGTGCCATCAAGCAGCACGAAGCCCGCGATCGAGATGACCACTGCAGCTCCTCTGACCACTCCACGTTCCTGATGTGTCGTTGATGCAGAGCTTTTGGCAAGTCTCTTAGCCACAAAGCAGAGACTCTCCACAAATGCATGTAAGGCTCGCCGGCGGCAAAACCTGTTTGCGTGCCGATGTCCACGAGCAGTATGTAGGAAACCCTGGCATTGCACGCAGCACTCAAGAACCCTAAACCCTAAACCCTAAACCCTAAACTTTCTTGGCTACTTGAGGTGCTCGAGGTGCCAGAGCTGCCAAGGCTCCAGAAGCTCTCGGTCAATCCAGTTCCATAGTCTGGGTTGCCGCCAGAGGAAACCCATGCTAGCATACTCAGGATCTGTAGACCTTGGCATGCTGAGCAAAAGCCTGGACCTTGCGCACCTGAATCCGGGAAAACGGCTCCGTAGCTGACCCTCCGATTCCTCTAACTCATCAACTGGAGGTGCTCAACTAGCCCTAAACCCGAAACCCTAAATTTTAAACCCTAAGCCCGAAACCCGGAGGTGCGCACTAGAAGCATGTCAAGTCGAGTGGCAGCATCCCACCAAGAACAACACTAGCCAGTGCCCTGGCCTGGGTGTCTGTAAGGCTGAGATGGGGGGTTGTTCACGCAATAATGACAATAGTAATAAAAGTAACAAAAAACAATAAAAAACACATAATTTTAATTTTATAATAAGAATGAAAAAATAAAAAACATTAATACTAATAATAATAAAATGTGATAATAATAACAATAATAGCAATAATAATTGGGCCCTACAGTACAATAAGACGATGCTGTGGAAGTCATGTTGAAGAGACATGGGTCGCGAATGGATCTCATGCCAACGTATTCCCAGGCACGTCGTTCCAAGGAGTCGCGAGCGAAGTCCAGTCTGTCGCACTACTTCTGATGGACGCGTCAGTCGCTTTCCCGCGGACCGGCAGCACTTGCAACGCATCTTCATCTCTCATGGCACATGCGCAACTTACCTAGCCATCAGTTCCTTGGATAGCATCTTGCCAGTCTAGTTCCAAGATGCGCTTGTCTGCTTAGTGTGATGCAAACTCTCGCTTCAGCCTTTGCGTGGCAGGTGGCATATAGAGGCTCTCTCCTATGTTGCTTTTGGTTCGGCCTGCAGGCGTGTCTGTCAGTCAACGCCTACGTCAATAAATTTGGGAGCTTCTAGCCTCAACCATACATTTGCTCGACATCTCGAGCCTAAACTCTTGAAGCCTCAGCTGCCCTTGTTGCTTTTCTGAAAGTCACACAAGCCACAAGCCGCAACTTGTTCTTGCTTAGCTGCCTTTCTTGGAACGTATCGCTTCAAGCCATGGCGCAACACCTTTGTACAGGAAGGGCTCTCCACCAGCATTTGTGGCAGTTACGCTCGGGTCCTTTTTGGCCGCCGAGCGCTTTGGCTCTTCTTTGCACTTCGGGCGTCGAAACTGCAAGCTCTTGCATCTCCCATCTGGCTATTTGTGCGCCGGGGAGGCGTGTGGAGTTTGGAAGTACCTCATGACACATATCTGTTTTGAACTCTCCGCGTCATGCATGTCTGATTTCAACCACGGCACACCCAGCTGAAAACCGAGAAGTCTACCAACGCCACCTTCTAATCTTTCAGAGTCTCGCTTTTCAGGCAGGCCACTGTGGAGGACAGCAGGCAACAAACACATCCATCTCGGTCTTTGCATGGATCTCAGGCTCGACCCCTGCTGCAAACATGAAGACCTGCAGGGGTGCGCCATGCAGCCGTGGCCTTTGATAGGTCTAGTTGCTCAGTACCAGCCGTTACTAGCCAGCCCCCCCCCCCCCCCCGAACCCCCCGACCTTGCCAGGAGTGACGTCCTGCGGAGCATGCCACATACCAGTGTGCCATGTCTCGTGTCAAAAACCATGAGATCATCAGACCCCTGTATGAAACAGGTTCCCTCGTCTCGCCAGAGATGGTGACAGTACCTCGGCTGGGCACACACTCAGTATTACCTTCTCTCTCGATCTTTCGCAGAAACCATCGCACTTTGCATCCATATGCATCCCGGCCACCGGCACCTTTCAAGTTCAGAGCCATTGCAGGCCCCTCGCTGCTGAAAAGCCGATGCTGTCGACCTTTAAAACGTCAACTCTTTCGCTGGCTCAGGAACAGGGGCGTGTGCGAATTCTGTGGAGCCTCCGGCTTCCAGGTGCAGGTGCATCACCTGGAACTCCTGCTCTCACCGGCTCTTGACAGCAAGAAGGACTAGTATCGTCTTCCTTCTCAAATGCATGCAAGATCATGCAAGACTTGCGCGCAGGGTGCGATCAGCTGGCACCCACAAGTGCCCCCCACCCCCCAAAAGGCTCAAATTGCAGTACCCTTTGCGCCGAGGAAGTTGCGCACTCCACCCACACTCACACACATACCCATGACAGAAAAACGGATGTTGCCTCTATGTCTGGATCTGCATAGAGCTTGATGCCCTTGTCCAGCCTGACACTTGGAGTGTACCGCAGCGAGGCATCTGGACAGCCGAAACGCGAGCCCTGAAAGGCTGCCAAAATGCACTGTAGGTTTGACCGTTGCTGGCGGTCCACCTCCGGGTAGCATGATGGAGCGCAAGCGACAAATGCTGGCAAACTTTCTACACTGCATATATATGTATATATATATATAAATATGATATATATATGAACAGCTATTCCGGCGGATCTGGATTTCTGTATCGGGGCGGACGGTTTCCATATCCGCCAAGGCCCCTGGCCTCTGGAGTTACTCCAACCAAATACATACAAATACCTCCTCGCCAGTCGATTCTTTCTCCCGCTGCATCCAAGAAGGGTGGCTGGCTGACTGCTTTGGGTTGCTATGTTTTATGTCGTGGGGGGTGTCCCCTAGGGCCCACCGACGGGATCTCCAGGGATCCGCGTGGAAAAGCCTGCTCTCCCCCATACTGCTGCACCGACACCGTATCGTTACCTGACCCATATTGAAGCACGGCACATGTGCCTACTGGCCATGCCCTTCGGTGGAGCCGAGGCGTGTGCACGTTCAGCTTTACTGCGAACCTGAGGTCCGACTCTGGCCCCTGGCCTTCGTAGCGCAGCATTGCGCAAAGGACCTCGACATCCTGTCGAGCGACTGGTCAAGGCTTGCTCTTTACGTGCGCCATGTCCCGAGATGTCATGCCGAGAGAGCAGCGCAAGCAAGCAACGGGCCCACAGCTTCTGCATCCAGCGACATTGGTCCTTGAATTTTGGCGTCAACCCGCCGCGAACGACATTGTCCGAGCAAGCCATGCACCTAAGGACTTGATTGGGCAGATTCGGGCAGTGCTCATGGACAAGTCTTCGCTGCAAATCAGCATCCTGAGGCTCTCGCTCAACAATGTCCCCCGCAATATACGCATGAGGCACATTCTGTGCCATGTAAAGACCTGGACTGCACAGAGAAGCAAAGCAGGTCGAGGTCGAATGGTCAAGCCTCAAACAAAAGGCAACTTGCCAGCCAGGTATCATTCTCCTACCTTGAGGCGCGCGTAATTCATGAGGAGGGCGGCGAAGATGCCTGCCAACAAAAGGCTCAAGGTCAAGTTGCGTGATCCTGCAAGCCTCGCCTATGTCGTTCTCGTACTGTGCATGCAAGGTACCTCAACAAGGCTGCGAAGGAGCTTCTATGGTATCAAAGGTGTACATGGACATAAACTCAGAAAGCACTCAAGTTCATCCAGGCCGCATACCAGCTCACAGAGCTCCTGCTTTGGACTGGACTGGAATGGTACATATGTTGGCCAGAAAGACTCGAAAGGATAGAGCAACAAGCAGCCGAGCCAGTTCTTTCCTGCATTCTACTGCCGTCGCCGCTAGTCCCAGTTTCGTATATGTCTTTGTACTGGTTGGCAGTCCTTTATGTTCGGAGGTGCCGCTGGCGATGGCTGCTGCGCTCGAGCATGCAGAAGCTTTAGTTGCTCAGCGACGTCTTGCTCAGGAGCATGCATCCTAGGCGGATGCAATCACACCGCTCCGCTGCTTGCGCCCATGTTTAAATTTCTTGCACGTTCTGGTGCATTTGCCATGATGTAGCTGTATGGCAGCTCCCAAACCAAGAGCCGAAGCGTTGGCACGGGATTAAGAACACACACCAGAAGGTTCTCTGCAGTCCCGCGTCAGTCGCGTATAGGCATTCTTGAGAGCCTGAGTGAAGCAGCTTACGTTGCGGAGTAGTTGCAGCGGCCGATGTTCGCAACTAGCCAACTGCAATCCATGTAGCTATTGACTCTGCCTGCTGATCGCCGATGGCAGCTTTGAGACTCTCCAAAGAGTCTGGCCCAACAATGGCGACGGCTTCTGGCAAGTACCTTGCTCAGCGATAGCCATTGCCCTAGTGGCCCATATGTGCCCTGAGTGGACGCTTGAAGACAACTTGCCCATGGGCTAAACTGCGCTGTCTGTGAAGTCCCTTTGGAAACAACAAGAGTTTTGGGGAGCTCCCCCCCACCCGCCCCAATCTCGAAGTATGCAGCAAACATCTGCCCCAGCCATGTAAGGCGGATCTTGGAGGCAAGGCTCTCCAGAATTTGCACAATCTCAGAAACTTCTCGGAATCCACCTCGGCAGCATGACATAGCTGAGACCAGCTGCCTCTTGTGTTGACACTGTTCAAGCGATAAGCATCAGCTGCTACTTCTGCCGAGGTGCACAAAGCCTGGAAATCATCCGTCAACGCTATGGCGATTTCAGGCTTGTGATTAGGATCTTTGTAAATGTCTGGTCTTTCCCGATGTAGGCGCGATGCCAGATCTCGGTCGGGATGTGCCTGTATGGATAAGGCTTTGTGTATAGACAGGACTTTCAGTAGGAAGGGCAGCTGCTTTGCGTCCTGCAGCGCCGGTCCCAAGACAGAGGGCGTCTTGTGAAAGACATCCTGCAATGAAGTACTTCGGTGGACCACTCGGTCATGTCGTGGGCTGGATCCGGGACTGACAACACGTGCCGGTCCCGAAGGGTGGTCACCCATCCACATTTCTGCGAAAGGCTTCTGGGCATCGGGCTCGTCCGTCAAGTGTGGGCTTTGTTGACCCGTGAGTGCCGCGATGATGCTCTCGTTTCTTGGCTTGCCCCAGTCATAATGCTGGGTGTATGGGGCAAGCGACAAGAGCTGTATGCCCAATCCATCCACCATCTGGATGCGCAGCTTCTGGCACACTTGGACCTCTTGCTGCGCAGGAGCCCGCCCACCCCCATTGGCAAAAATGTCCGGATGTAGCAGCTGCAAGGTCTCTGCAACAGAGTCGTCTAGGTCAACAGCCTCTACTGCTGCATCCACGCATTGCAAAGATCTGACCAGCTTCACTCGCTCACGTGCTGGTAGAGTCATGTCCTCAGCCTGTGCCCTCTTTGACCTGCGAAGTGCCTGACGGGGTCTGCAGAAAACGAAAAAAATGACCTCTAGCGAAACACTTGGGCCAACAGAGTTGTTCAGAACAGGAGCTGCTTGAACATCATTGTTAACAATGACGATCAAGCTGGTCCCCAGATCTCTGGCCTCAGACGCGGACGGCGCAGACCGATGCAATGCAGGATAGACCCGTGGCAACCCTGTCAAGCCAGAGCCTTCTCCAGGTAGGACACGTGCCCGTAGTGCAAAGGGTTGAAGTAGCCGGAGGCCACTACGACGCGCTTGGTCATCGGACACTGCCTTTGGGAGTAGGGCATAGCATTGGCTTGGTCGTTCTGCACTCTATTTCAGATTAATCAGATTCCAAATTCAGATCAATCCGTTTCGAGGGTTGTCAAGTGAGTCACTCAACAATTTTGCAGGGGCAGGGTGTCCAAGGCAATTTGTCCACCCTCGTTCTGAGAGCTATCTTCCTATTTGTGGCCACTCTATTGCCCGCTTGCCCTCAGAGTTTGTGAAATCCAGGGCAAGGTATTGCGTCAGTTTAGACCGGCGTTCCAAGTAAAGTAGAACTACATTGCCTTCAACAAGAAGCTCGTGTGGATCTTGGTGTAAATGAAAGGCTTCAGCCAGAAAGGCCCTGGCCTTGACCCCTTCGCCAACAGACGTGACTCTCTGGAGAACCCGGGACAACCGTAGCACAGTGCAGCTGAAAAGCAGAAATCACATGATGCCAGCGCTCGTTTGGCCCAATGCTGAGAGCCGAAGTAAGTGGGCATGTTGCGGCATGTTGCTCGGCGGCAGTGAACACTATCATGACATGAAATGATCGTCAGCGGCAAGGACTCTAGACAGTCTAGACCTGAAGCTAGGCACGAGCGCAATCCACAGAGATGTGTTTGGCATTGTGCGGCATTCTTCGATGCCGCGTCAGCCTTCATTCTCAGCATCTACGCGTCGTTGAGGGCTCGCTTCGCGGCTCCTGTCCAGCCGCAAGTGCTGCCAGCAATGTATGGCAAAGCGCTTCGAGTGCTTCAGCAGCGGCGCACGGCCTCCTTGACCGCTCTCGTGGGCACCGGCAGGCTTCTCTTGATTCCTCCGTAGACATCCGAGTACTGAAGGGGATAGGATTAGGGGGATTCTTGGGGATGTAGACCCTCTGAATGAGGTCCCTGTTTAAGAGAGCCAGAAAAGGGTTCAGAAGGGTTCCCTTTTAAGGGGCTCCCTTCTGCTACCTAGGAACTGATTCCGCAGGTCAGGCTGCATTGCGGCCAAGGCTCCGCGTGATACCTGCACGCTTGGCCGCATCGCCTTTTTAGGAGCCACTGGTCTGGCACTCCCATCTTGCTCAAGCTCGGACTTTGGAGCCTGGCACATGGCCCGTGCCACACAAGTCCAGCAGCTAGGAGGCTAAGACTAAAACCGTGAGATCCCGAGGATTTCTAACCCCTTTTGCAACAGGCTTGCCACCGCGCCCGGAGTAAGTGCCACTCGAGTAAAGCAGCTTCACTGCTATCCAAGACCCCTAAACCCTAAACCCTAAACCCTAAACCCTAAACCCCTTAACAGCAAACCTCAGGGTGGAGCATGCTGCGCCTTGCGCTCTTGGAGCAGGCGGGGTCTGAAGTCTTGCAAGCCCACAGCCTTCGCCTCTCACTCTTCCATGCTCTGACGGTGTCACATATGTACACTATATATATATATTATACATATATACTATATACATTACATACTCTCTCTCTCTCTCTACATATATATATATATATATATGTACGAGGAACCTTCCTGTATTATGTGACCATGCGTCTTTTCTGAACATTCAAACGGGGGTTCGAATAGTTTGAATGGTTTGGGGTCCGGACTGGGGCCCCCAACTATTCGAACTATTCGAACTATTCGAAACTATTCGAACTATTCGAACCAGAGGGGTTCGAATAGTTCGAATAGTTTGGGGGCCCTGCCTGGTGCCCCAAACTATTCGAACTGTTCGAACTATTCGAACCAGGGGGGTTCGAATAGTTCGAATAGTTTTGGGGCCCGGCCTGGTACCCCAAACTATTCGAACTATTCGAACCAGGGGGGTTCGGATAGTTCGAATAGTTTGGGGGCGAGGGCTGGTGCCCCAAACTATTCGAACTATTCGAACTATTCGAACCAGGGGGGTTCGAATAGTTCGAATAGTTTCGAATAGTTCGAATAGTTCGAATAGTTTGGGGGGTCCCCGGGGAGACCAGTTTGGGAGGAAGGGGGGTTCGCGCCGGCCTGGGGCCCCCAAAATTCAAAATTTGCCGGAATCCCCTTGGCACCCTGCAAAAGTCCCGCAAATACCGCACAAAACGGGAACGGGTAGGAACAACTTTGCGGGTCGAAATTTGCCGGGATCCACTTGGCATCCTGCAAAAGTCCCGCAAATACCACACAAAACGGGAACGGGTAGGAACAACTTTGCGGGTCGAAATTTGCCGGGATCCCCTTGGCACCCTGGAAAAGTCCCGCAAATACCACGCAAAACGGGAACGGGTAGGAACAACATTTGCGGGTCGAAATTTGCCGGGATCCCCTTGGCACCCTGCAAAAGTCCCGCAAATACCACACAAAACGGGAATGGGTAGGAACACCTTGGCGGGTCGAAATTTGCCGGGATCCCCTTGGCACCCTGCAAAAGTCCCGCAAATACCACACAAAACGGGAACGGGTAGGAATAACTTTGCGGGTCGAAATTTGCCGGGATCCCCTTGGCACCCTGCAAAAGTCCTACAAATACCACACGAAACGGGAACGGGTAGGAAAACTTTGCGGGTCGAAATTTGCCGGGATCCCCTTGGCACCCTGCAAAAGTCCCACAAATACCACACAGGAACGGGAACGCGCGGGTCGAAATTTGCCGGGATCCCCTTGGCGCCCTGCAAAAGTCCCGCAAATATCACACAAAACGGGAACGGGTAGGAACAACTTTGCGGGTCGAAATTTGCCGGGATCCCCTTGGCACCTTGAAAAAGTCCTGCAAATGCCACACAAAACGGGAACGGGTAGGAACAACTTGGCGGGTCGAAATTTGCCGGGATCCCCTTGGCGCCCTGCAAAAGTCCCGCAAATAACACACAAAACGGGAACGGGTAGGAACAACTTTGCGGGTCGAAATTTGCCGGGATCCCCTTGGCACCCTGGAAAAGTTCTTCAAGTACCGCACAAAATGGGAACAGGTAGGAACAACTTGGCAGGTCGAAATTTGCCGGGATCCCCTTGGCGCCCTGCAAAGTCCTGCAAATACCACACAAAACGGGAACGGGTAGGAACAACATTTGCGGGTCGAAATTTGCCGGGATCCCCTTGGCGCCCTGAAAAAGTCCTGCAAATGCCACGCAAAACGGGAACGGGTAGGAACAACTTGGCGGGTCGAAATTTGCCGGGATCCCCTTGGCGCCCTGCAAAAGTCCCGCAAATATCACACAAAACGGGAACGGGTAGGAACAACTTTGCGGGTCGAAATTTGCCGGGATCCCCTTGGCACCCTGCAAAAGTCCTGCAAATGCCGCACAAAACTGGTGCCCCAAACTATTCGAACTATTCGAGCCAAGGGGGACCAGTCTGGAAAGAAGGCTCGTGCTCGATTGGGAGAAGGCCCTGGCTCGTAATTTAGTATTGGGGGAAGGCCCGTATTCGGGGCAGGTAATTTAGTATTGGGGGAAGGCCCGGGCTCGTAATTTAGAATTCGGGGAAGGTCCGGGCTCGTAATTTAGTATTGGGAGAAGGCCCGGGCTCGTAATTTAAGATTGGGAGAAGGCCCGGGCTCGTAATTTAGTATTGGGAGTAGTTTGGGGCCCGGTTTGGGGCGCCCAAACTATTCAAACTATTCGAACTATTTGAAACTATTCGAACTATTCGAACCAAGGGGGTTCGAATAGTTCGAATAGTTTCGAATAGTTCGAATCGTTCGAATAGTTTGGGGGGGGGCCCGGGGAGACCAGTCTGGAAAGGAAGGGAAGGCCATGGCTCGTAATTTAGTATTGGGGGAAGGCCCGGGCTCGTAATTTAGTATTGGGGGAAGGCCGGGCTCGTAATTTAGTATTGGGGGAAGGCCCGGGCTCGTAATTTAATATTGGGAGAAGGCCCGAGCTCGTAATTTAGTATTGGGAGAAGGCCCGGGCTCGTAATTAAGGCCCGGGCTCGTAATTTAGTATTGGGAGGCGGGGTGTTCGAATAGTTTGGGGCCCGGCCTGGGGCGCCCAAACTATCCAAACTATTCGAACTGTTCGAAATTATTCGAACTATTCGAACCAAGTGGGTTCGAATAGTTCGAATAATTTCGAATAGTTCGAATAGTTTGGGGGGGGGGGCCGGGGAGACCAGTCTGGAAAGGAGGGGAAGGCCCTGGCTCGTAATTTAGTATTGGGAGAAGGGCCTGGCTCGTAATTTAGTATTGGGGGAAGGCAGGGGCTCGTAATTTAGTATTGGGGGAAGGTCCGGGCTCGTAATTTAGTATTGGGGGAAGGTCCGGGCTCGTCATTTAGTATTGGGAGAAGGCCCGGGCTCGTAATTTAGTATTGGGAGAAGGCCCGGGCTCGTAATTTAGTATTCGGAGAAGGCCCGGGCTCGTATTTAGGATTGGGAGGGGGGGTGTTCGAATAGTTTGAGGCCCGGCCTGGGGCGCCCAAACTATTCGAACTATTCGAACTATTCGAAATTATTCGAATTATTCGAATAATTTCGAATAGTTCGAATAGTTCGAATAGTTTGGGGGGGGGGCCGGGGAGACCAGTCTGGAAAGGAGGGGAAGGCCCTGGCTCGTAATTTAGTATTGGGAGAAGGGCCTGGCTCGTAATTTAGTATTGGGGGAAGGCACGGGCTCGTAATTTAGTATTGGGGGAAGGCACGGGCTCGTAATTTAGTGTTGGGGGAAGGTCCGGGCTCGTAATCCGGGCTCGTAATTTAGTATTGGGGGAATGCCCGGGCGTAATTTAGTATTCGGAGAAGGCCCGGGCTCGTATTTAGTGTTGGGAGGGGGGGTGTTCGAATAGTTTGGGGCCTGGCCTGGGGCGCCCAAACTATTCAAACATTCGAACTATTCGAAACTATTCGAACTATTCGAACCAAGCGGGTTCGAATAGTTCGAATAATTTCGAATAGTTCGAATAGTTTGGGGGGGGGCCCGGGGAGACCAGTCTGGAAAGGAAGGGAAGGCTCGGGCTCGTAATTTAGTATTGGGGGAAGGCCCGGGCTCGTAATTTAGTATTGGGAGAAGGCCCGGGCTCGTAATTTAATTCTGGGAGAAGGCCCGGGCTCATAATTT